CGAAAATCTAAATTGGAATCAAAATTTACCTATTTGATTTTGTAAATGGTGTAAAATTATCATTTTAAAAGTGAATAACTAAAAGATTCATTTAAAGTATGTAAAGGAACGATTTTCCAATAAAAAATTACATCTGAAACATTTAAAACCCAAGATAGAGCAAGAAAGCCAAATAAGTAATATTTCTATGGTTAGGAAATAAGATATCAGATAACACCTCTAAACATAGATGATACACGTTAGCCCGATTAACAATAGCCATTTTAGAATTTAATTTACGCTCAATAAGAATTGCACTTGTTCTATTTCGTCAACACGGGAGAGGGGAGGGGGGGGGGGCGGTGAACTGAAACCAATCTGTGAATATAGAGGGCAAGATGTATTAAACCTTCTAATAGTGCAATTTAACAAAGTTTTCTATCGGCTTATGGACTAAATTACTTTCTTTATTTTTATGAATGTTTATGTACTGATTACTTCATCTGCTGTTAATTACTGGAGTATTAATTTACTATTCCTTTGCTTTACCTTTGTTCCTCCTAGTTTCAACCATCAAATTGCATTCGATAATATTTGCCCCTTTAACAACACAATATTCATCCCGGCAATTGCAAATACATGGCCGTAATCGTACTTCTTCCTAGGAGGAAGTAATTTGCATCCATGCACCGATGCGCGCTTTAATTCATGAAATCCATTGGAATTCCCCTTCATGTTTCCCGCCAGTTTTCAACTGCCTGTCAAAAAGCACTACTCCTGCCCGCTGCCACGGTCCCTTCGGAGGCCGCTTCTTACAGTCAAGTCTTAGACAAATGGCCAGATATCAGAACCTTGAAAAAAATCCACTGCAGGATCATCTTACATCTGAACCTCAGCTCCTGCATTTCCTTTGGCATCAAGTTGATGCGGGCCTATGCTGCTCGTGGCCAAACCAGTATTACCCGCCAGATATTCGATAGAATTCCCGAGAGAAATGTCGTGATTTTTAATGTTATGATTAGAAGCTACGTCAACAACCATCTTTATCATGATGCTCTCTTCATGTTTAAGAGCATGAATTCGAGCAACACGAACCCTGATTATTACACATTCCCCTGCATTCTAAAAGCTTGCTCTGCCTCTATGGATCTGCGGGTTGGCTTGCAAGTTCATACCCAAGTCTTGAAAATGAATCTTGATGGAAATTTATATGTCGGGAATGGTCTAATAGCCATGTATGGGAAATGTGGGAGTTTGACGGGCGCTCGTTCTGTCCTAGACGAGATGCCCAGGAGAGATGTTGTCTCTTGGAACTCAATGGTAGCTGGGTATGCACAAAATGGAGGGTTTAATGATGCTTTGGAAGTTTGTAGGGAAATGCAAACGTTTGGTCTGAACCCTGATGCTGGCACCATGGCAAGCCTGCTGCCTGCCGTTACTAATACGTCTTCCGAGAATGTTGCGTTTGTTGAGGATATGTTCATGAAGGTTAGAAGAGATGAGTTGGTTCCGTGGAATGTGATGATAGCAATATATGTGAATAATTCTATGCCTAACAAGGCGGTCGAACTTTATATGGAGATGGAAGAGAGCGGGATAGAACCAGATGCTATAACTATTTCTAGTATTCTCCCAGCTTGTGGGGATCTTTCAGCCATGATGATGGGATGGCGAATTCATAAATATGTCGAGAGGAAGCGAATTTTGCCTAATTTGTCTGTTGAGAACGCCTTGATTGATATGTATGCCAAGTGTGGATGTTTACAAGAGGCTAAGGAAGTGTTTGATAAGATGCATTTTAGGGATGTTGTGTCATGGACTTCGGTTATCTCTGCTTATGGTAAGAGCGGGAAAGGTGCCAAAGTTGTTGCACTGTTCTCAGAAATGCAGGAGTCAATTACCCCCGATGCTATAGCATTTGTCTCAATTCTTTCAGCTTGCAGCCATGCTGGTTTGTTGGAGGAAGGTCGACATTTCTATGAGTTAATGACAAAAGAATACAAGATAGTACCTAGGTTAGAACATTTCGCTTGCATGATTGATTTGCTAGGACGTGCAGGACGAGTACGTGAGGCTTATGACTTTATCAAGCAGATGCCGTTGGAGCCAAATGAGACAGTTTGGGGAGCTTTTCTGAGTGCTTGTCACGTTCACAAGGACATGGATATTGCCCTTGAAGCTGCAGATCATCTTTTCCAATTAGCTCCAAAGGTATCTGGTTATTATGTTCTCTTATCGAACATATATGCAAAGTCTGGGAGATGGAAGGAAGTGGCATCCATTAGGTCAATCATGAAGTGCAGAGGAATAAAGAAACTGCCTGGTATCAGCAATGTTGAGCTGAATAATCAGGTGCACACTTTCCTTGCTGGTGGCCAGTCACATCCCCAATCAAAGGAGATCTACGAGGAGTTGGATGCATTAATTGGTAAGATGAAGGATGCAGGTTATGTCCCAGAAACAGAGGATGCCCTTCATGACGTTGAGGATGAAGATAAGGAAAATCATCTGGCAGTTCACAGCGAGAAGTTGGCTATTGTCTTTGCCATGATAAACACCAAACCAGGGACCCTGATTAGGATTACTAAGAATCTACGGGTCTGCAGGGACTGCCACATTGCTGCCAAGCTCATCTCCAAGATTACTGAACGCCAAATCATTATACGGGATACAAACCGCTTTCATCACTTTGAGAGCGGATTTTGCTCATGCAGTGATTATTGGTGATTCCACATAGGTCAGCAATACAGAATGGTATTCTTATCGTAACATTTTTGCTCTGATGTTTCTGTTCGGTCATTCGTACGAGGGATTGATCAAAGGTTTTCGAACCAAAATATTCTATTCTGTCGGCGACCTCAGAACCGACGGCGTACTGTTACATGCCTTGAGTTAATGTTGGTGGTGCGTGCAGAATCAGGCTCCTCTTTGAGCTATGGCCGAGCTTACATCTATATATGAGGGGCGTGCAGCCATGTTGAGACTGGAAGACTTAAAGAATGATGCAGCCATATCTCCAAATTTGTGGAAGGTACTTCTTTTTCCTTAAGGAGATCGTTACATCTAAGCAAATTCGTTGTGATATCAGCCCCCTTCAGCTTAAATAATAAAAGTTTCTCAAAATTCTAAGTTATTTGAACTTCTTTTGTTGCAGCAGTCATGATCCTTGTCCACCTCTGAAGTTAAGCGCTGGTTTGTTAATTAAAATTGTTGCAAATATGTCAAATGAGTGTTAACACTTGAGATCAGATATCAGCAATTGACTGGTGGTGCCTGCAAATGAAGATTTGTCGACGACTGCAGTTATTATATATTTTTTGTGTAGAAAGCTTAAAAGTACCACATTTGCTGCACGGACTCTTAAAATTAGTAGTAGTGAGTTTTTGACGATACTAATCTGAAAGGGTTTTTCAAATCGTGTTTGGTAATTAGAACAAGGATGTGCGAGTTTTTATGTGAGAATTGGATTGGATTGAGTTTGTATGTGTGTGTGTTTTTGTTTCTCTTCAATTGAAGTGAACCGTGTTATGTTTTCACGTAATTTAATCGTGGAAAGGTCAGATGCAACCCTAGCTTTAACGGAATCAAAATCTCTAACAACTTAGACCCAAAAATAAGAGAAGAATATTTTTTTATTAAAAAAAAAAAGGAGTAAGCAGGACAATGGCTAGTTTTCCATTCTCTCTCTGACACAACATGCCAACAATTCCATCTCAGTAATAAAAAATGAACGGAAGTTTCCTTCCGCCTCCCTACGTCATTAAAGCCACAGTAAATTCCAAGCAATTTTGCATAGGGATGGCAACGGGGCGGGGGACCCCTCCCCCGTCCCCCGCCCCGTTGCCTATTAGTTCCCCCCGTCCCCCGCCTCCCGCTCCCCCCGCGCCCGCCCCGCTTCTCCCGCGGGGGCACCCGCGGGGTTAATGAAATTTTATTATATAATTTTATTATAATTAAATTTTAATAAATAATCAAGTACTAAAATATCAACACATCACCAAATTATTATTCATTGTAATTTTACAATTAAAACTCATAAAAACAATCAAACATAAGTTATTTGAATACAATCTAATATGCTGAAATAAATATAACTAAAATAGTCAAGTTTTCACTTTTATTACAAATGCAATCACTAATTCATTATTGTGTTTGTGCTTTTTTTTTGAGAAAAAAGTGTTATTCTATTAAGTGTAATTAGAAATTTAATATAAATGTATTAGTAAATTTAGTATAACTAATTAATAAATTCTATTAGTAGACATATATAATTATTCATATAATTGATAATATCAATTATATTACATAAACTAATATACATTATATAATACATCTAACTAATAATATCATTATCATAAGTTTATAACTAATTAACTTACATATTATATATAATTATATATATATTTTTTTTTTGCGGTGGCGGGGCGGGGGAGTATACCCCCGCCCCGTTTCTAAGCGGGGGGAAAAAATTCCCCCCCGCCCCCGCCCCACCCCCCGCCCCGAGAGCCCCCCGCGGGGCGGGCACCCGCCCCCATTGCCATCCCTAATTTTGCACAGGGAATTCGAGATGAAAATATGGTCACAAAATCAAATCTCATAATAATTCGCCAAATTCTTGGGGTTCTTTCCTGGAACTCTTCATATATGGGTCATCCGATGGCTAACAGGCTTCCCGGTTGTTCATTGAAAGGGCTGTGTACTCACAGACTTGCCGTAGTCAAGACTCAACATGGACTGATTGGATTTAAGGCAGTCAAGACAAAACAGGCGAGACAGAGACGGATCGCGAACTTCAGTCTTCAACATGGACCCAGGTTGCGAGAAGGTGGGTTTACCATATCATATGGCACTTGCGACTTCGTTCGTTCCTATGGATGATTTAAGGCCTTGTTTGGACAGTCATTCTTCGTCGAAAAATTGCACCGTTTTTTATGATTATATTTTTTTCTCATATACATCAAATCGCTACAACAATTTTTTTATAAAAAATTCCTAAACAATGTAATCCAAACACACAACCAATTAGATTCTCGGGTCAAGTCTAGGCGCGCCTGAACAAAACATTTCTAGGGCTCTAATCTTCCTCGCAGTCTTCCATTTCATCTTTTCTTCTTCCATCGTCCAAGCTAGGCACGTCCCTGTTAGCATAACACACGTTGCATTCCCGCCTCTCCACGTCACATGGATGTCGGAAATTAGTTACAAGCAGGAACGTTACGTACTTTTCAAGCGTGTCATTGCCCAACACTTCACACTCAGTCAATCGCTGTTGAATTTTCTAAAGCAACGAATTTGGACCAGTTGAGTTGTGGCAATCGTATGCTCGCTCTTACCAGAACGGCGATGATTTACAGTCAAAACACGCATGTTTGCATTTTTCTCAGCACATCACCTGTCTGGGCTTGCATTGCACGAGCACGGCCTTAAACCTATATAAGTGGATGGATCTTTAGGGCAACGCAATCGACCAGGAGACACATTCTCAAACCCTAGTACTAGTACTATACTACTATACAGATGGATAGATACACACAGAGTAACTGAAAACATGGCGGGTTTAACATGGTTATTATTGCCAGTCTTGTCATCCTCACTGTTGATGGTATCCTTGTTCCAGTCCGCACAAGCTGCAGGAATTGCCGTCTACTGGGGTCAACACGGCGATGAAGGAAGCTTGGCCGACACATGCGCCAGTGGAAACTACCAGTTTGTGAACCTGGCATTTCTGACGACCTTCGGCGGTGGAAAAACACCAGTGTTGAACTTAGCCGGCCACTGCGACCCCCCCTCGGGCACTTGCGCCTCCTTGAGTGCTGAAATAAAAGCTTGCCAGAACCGAAACATCAAAGTGCTGCTTTCCCTCGGAGGTCAGATTGGAAACTACGGCCTCACTTCTGCCGACGATGCAGGGCAAGTCGCCAATTACCTCTGGAACACCTTCTTGGGCGGTCAATCAGGTTCCCGCCCGCTGGGAGATGCTGTTTTAGACGGTATAGACTTTGATATCGAAACCGGGACAGGCCTGTATTGGGACGATCTGGCCAGGGCGCTCTCCCGATTCAGCTCGCAGAAAAAGGTCTACTTATCCGCCGCTCCACAATGCCCATTCCCTGACGGTCATCTAAGCACGGCTATCGGCACTGGCCTTTTCGATTACGTCTGGATACAATTTTACAACAACGGGCAGTGTCAGTACGGGGCTAATGCTGATAACCTGATAGCGAGATGGAATCAGTGGACTTCAGTTCAGTCCAATCAGATCTTCCTAGGCGTACCAGCATCCGCAGATGCTGCCGGTGGTGGGTATATTCCACCAAATGTCCTCACTTCTCAGGTTCTACCATCCATCAAGTCGTCGTCTCCCAAGTACGCGGGGGTCATGATCTGGAACAAATATTTTGACCGCGGATATAGTGCAGCTATCAAGGGCAGCGTCTGACTTAGTCGCCCTTATCTTATGTCCATCCAGATTGATTCCAGAATAACGTCTCAGAGGAGACAGTCCTCTCTTCAGGAGTAGCTATAGGATATATCATCCACCGTCCAAATAATATCCATTGTACCTCATCATCTAGAAATAAAAATGTCCTTTCTGATGATCCTGTTATAAACTACTACTATAATCAAGAGCTTTTTTTTTTTTTTTTTTTGGGTCCACATAATTTTTTTGGCGTAACCAATCACTCACTGAAGTATAAATTTTTGAATTGTACTTATGTCATTGTTCCAAAAATCTGTACTTATTTGAAATTATAAATTTAAATTCGGTCCAATCTGTACTTATGTCATTGTTCCGATTTAAATTTATAAATTCAAATAACTAACAAAAAATCATTTGATTTTTGCTCCCTTTTTCTTATTGAAAAACTACTATAAAAACTCTTCATAGTATAAATTTGCTTGTCAGTAGTATGATTTACGAGAATTTATCCACCTCAGTTAAAAAGGATAATTTATTTTCCCCCAAATCTCCACTCTTCCCCCACCCCTTTTTTTTTTAGATCTTTCATTTTGTCATGATATTAACTGCTTTTGTTTCATTATTATTATTATTATTTGTCGGTTTTATTTTATCATTTTATTTTCTCTTAGTTTGTTAATTTGCTAATTTATGACAAGTTTTAGTCTCTTTTCCTACTTTTCCAAAACGAAATTTTAAATTTACACACAAAAAAATGTTAGGGGTTCAAAATTTTTTAATTCAGTTTTTATGTTAACTTTTATAGTGCTTAATTCAAATTTTTATATTCTTATTGTTCAATTATTAAATAGTATGCGACATAGAGTATGGATAGAAAAAAAAATTAGTAATTAGGCTTATTGAACACTATAAGTAAATATTTAAAACTAATGATGGGTGCAAATGGTGATATAAATTGATAACTTAGTTTGCAACGGTGAATTTAAAAGAGTTTACAAAAAATTAAAATAAATAGATTATAAATGGGTAATTGGGTTACTCAATTCATTTATTGACTTACTCATTTATACTCATATAATTAAATGAATATAAATAGATTGACTCATCTATACTCATTATCCATTTTAACTAACCCAAACCCGTCAAAGTCATCCATTTTGACGCCTCTAATTTATACTAACGAAAATAATGGAAGGATTGGGATTATAATATGTTGACACTCGGCAACTCCTTTCTTTTCTCTTTTCTCATGGGACCGTTTTTATGGATACTACTACAATCAATGTCCACGGTTTGGGGTGAGATGTACAGGGGACATTGGGCTGAGAATTCTGCCGGCCCATGGTCATCGCAAGTGATATTTAGTATTTAGTACCAGTAGAAAAAGAATAATAAATAATAAATTGTTAGGCTCTCCTTGGTTGGATTTTCAAGCTCTTACTTTGCTCTTCCTTCTTTTACGTTTTTACAACTAAGTCTCTCTTGAATTGGAAAAAAAAAAATTTGTTTGCAAATGCTTCATCCCACTAAAATGACGTCGTACCAATCCATTTTCCATTTTGCAATAGGTTCAGCATTATTTTATTCGTTGCAGTATGTGTTGGTTTCTAATTTTTCCTTTTTTAGTTATTTTATTATTAATTCCTTTTTTATAATAATTGAGACTCAAAATTTGAGTAAACGCCGCCTGGCCAACTCTAATTGACAACAAGATTGATGCGATGACAAAGGTATGTTTTTCAACTCTTCCCTGCCTTTTTCATTGAACACCCAATAACTTATTACCACCCCAATGAAAATTCTCTCTCTCGCTTACAAATATCCTTTCGACACATTTTTCAATTATTTTTTGAGTTTCTTTTTTATATACAGATAATATATATACTATCATGGTTGGATGTATGACACATATGCAAATTTTGGATTACAACTTCAAATTTAGATTATGTGCCAGATATCCAAAATGGTGAAAATTGTACGCATTATTCGTACATAGAAAATTAATCCTTATTTTTTTACTTCAATCCTTTTTATTCTTTAAAAACTTCAAAAACTTGAAATCTTGACGGACTCCAAGTCTTTACAGTCTGGGGCATTCATAAACCCCTACCTACGGTCATCTAAAGCGAAAGAATCCTCCTGCTTTCTTTGCAAGGTAACTTGCGGGCTTATTTGCCTTCCCACAGAGATGTGCATTAATAGCGGTGGCTGGGGACAAAGCCCAACAAGATCCTACAATCGGATGCAATGGCAAGGAATTCGTGAGATTTAGTGTCCAGTTTGGCAATCAAATCAATAACAAACTGAGCATCAAGTTCAATTTCCACGAGAGATATTCGGTGCGAAACAGCAAATTTGAGACCATTCCTTCAGGGCGAATGTTAGTGGCCGTCCAACCCAAGTTGCTACAAAAAAGCCACCGACCAGAGGGAGAATTCACGTACCAGTCAACTCCATCAAAAAGTTGCGGTATGATTTAGTCTTCAGCCGAGAAGCAAACACAAATAGAAAAAGATAAGATGAGGATCTTAAGAGTGTGTGCAACGAATATTACGACCAGTTTACATATGCTCTTCCTTTCTTTCGGAAACTAGTAGCATTTTGCTCGTCACTTAACATAGTTTATTTTTTAAAAACTTTATTGTAATTTTATGCAAGCACAAATAATTTAAATTAAAAAAAAATTAACAACAACATTATATGTTCATTCATATTTAATTTTTAAAAATTGATGTAATCTAAATGTTTAATTATTATACTAATTTTTAAAAAACTTCTTTACATACTTTTACTGTGATATAATAGTATTCATCGAATACTTAATTAAGCACAAAAAAAAAAATCACACCGATTTTTTTTTAACATCAACAAATATTCAGGTTTTAGCAATATTGTAACTGTTAAAATTTTTTATATGCTAAGTTAATTCGTAAGGAGAAAATAATTATAAATATTTATCAAAAAAATATGATATTGTTAGAGGAGACAAAAGCCATAAGAACAAATAATTCCAATATCTAAAAAGATAAAGCTATTAAAAATAGATAAACTATAAAAAACTAATTATAAAAGAGTTCAACAATAAAATCCAAGCATTTAAATAACTCATTAATTTTCCTCAATTAAGCATATTATCGAGGAGAGAAAATATTGGTCTTAAAATAACAACTTCCGTGTATGTGTATATATATTTTTCGTTGGGGCTCTACCGAACACATTATGGTCATCCTCTTTCCAATATTCTAGATGAAATATGAAAAATCTCTATTTATCTTTCATCCATTTCATCTCTCCTTAAATAGGAGTGGTAATAATCTTTAATAGTACAAAAAATGAAAGATTTTATTTCGAGCACTTTGTTGACCTACCAAAACCGGCAAAAGAATACTAAGGCCCAATTTGATAAATCAATTCAGCACTTTAATAAGTTCAAATCTTAATATGTTTAGTTGCATTTGATAACAAAAATAAAACATTTGAATTAATTAAGTGTATTGAATTTTCTAGACCAAATTTAGTCAAAAAATAAGCGATAACCTATTCACTTATCACTTAATATGATATACACTCAAACGTATAGAAATTAGTATTTAACTATTCAATAACTTGACGGATTCATGTTTCAATTTTCAGTTATCAAACTTCAATTTTATCAAACGCGCCCTAAGCATTGTTTGGAAGGCTTAATGGGAAAAGGAAAGAGAAAATGATAGAAATATTATTCTTTTTTCATTATGGATTAGATAGGAGTTCCTTATAGATTATGAGTAAGTTATATTTTAACTTTTTTTTTCCTTTTTATGGGGTCAAAAGAGCCTTCAAGTATTGTCTTTAATAAATGTTCTTAACACCTTTTCCCCTTTTTAGATTCAAGCAAAGTTCTATATCTTATAAAGAAGGACGGATAAAGAGGGGATTTGATGATTAAATCAAAGATTTCATCACTCGCTCACCAACGTTTCTTCTAATTGAGATAGGAATTTGGTACAAATGAGAGGCTTTCGAGGGAAATTTTTTATCTTTGGAGCAAAGACAAGTCGAGATGGAATGACACATCAGTGTAAAGGTTGCATTAAATAAATGAGGTTGATTTAAGGTGAATGATACGCAAGTTCAAATTAGTTTTGAAATGAATGTATTAAAAATATTGAAGAAGAATTTAAAAAGCAAAAAAAGAGAACTTTTTCTTGAGCCATATCGTAAAAGAAATAATTTCTTTCTAAACAAGTCAACAGTTTTTCTCTATTTCTCTTTTTGCATTGACGCAACGCCTTTTATGCTAAGTTTGGGAAGAGACTTTATCCGTCATTCCTATTTAAATCTAAGCCGAGTCAATCAATGCACAATGCATAAAAAGGGTAAACAAAATGAACTGTAAAATAATGCCACGTAATTTCGTCAATGCGTTTATCCTCAATAATGGTCAAAAAGTGGAAAGTTAGAAACCATCCTCATCAATAATCAATTGTTACAAATCCCAATTGACACATCAGCCTTCCTTGTCGGCATCATATATCGTAGACATATTTCAGATTTCAGAGTACGTCACCTTGCCCAAATTTATCTCTTTGATATTTCGTCCCGTCCCATTTTGACAGTCCTATTTTTCTTTATCGTCTGTCCCAAATTATAATCCACTTTTTAATTGAACAATGTGGTTGTATTTTAATTTTCCTAAAATACCTTTATTCAATGTAAGTTGTTGTTATTATAAATCTACCCCATTTAATGAGAGTTGATTTTTTTTTAAAATCAATTCAAGTTCCCATAAAATTATATTATAATTAATGTGAGGATATTTTAGAAAAATAGCTACCTAAATTGATTGTTCAAACAAAGCTAACTATTTTTTTTTAAATTATGTGAAAAACAAATCAGAACTATCAAAGTAGGACGGAGGGAGTACTGTATAATACTACGGAAAAAACACTTGAACTCCCACGTAGTTGACTAATCCGACGAAGTTGAGTCCATTACCCCCGTCGCAAACGCGGCGTTCGGTTGCCTCGTGTGCGCTGGGAGCAATAACTATCTGCCACTTGTCGGGTGCATTTGTCTTCTGTTCTGTATCTCTGTTGGGGCGTTATTGTACCCTGGCCTAATTCTAGGTCAGATACATGATTGCCTCCAATCAAGTGGTGGCCTTCTAGAACGTTTTTTTTTTTTTTTTTTGGCCTTTTTGCTTTTGGTGTAACATAAACTAATTAATACTCCATATCGTC